TTTTTTTAATGTCCTGGGTCTTTTACCCTATGTACACTCAGTAAAAGGCATGCTCTTTTTTTTTTTTTTTTTCCTTTAATAAACACTGAACCCTTTCCAAGAGTTTGACAATTATGCTGAGTTTCACTTTCTCAAGATTCACCTTGTCATGTTTATGACAGTAGGGTCAGCAATGTTGACAAGGCTCTTGGGAAACAATTGGTGACAATGCACAGTAACACAACTCTTCTGGCAAACAATGTACCACTGAAAAAAAGAACCATACTATGCTCATAGTCCTTGACCCACAAACCCCACATAACATAGTATATATCTTGAGATTTTTTTAAAAATCCCATTCTTTTTTTTTTCAAGAAAGTCAAAAGATGAAAAAAAGTTTATAAATATAATTTTAACAACAAATTATAAGCAACCTAAAGATCCAAAAGCTAGAAGCATAAGTTAGTCAGAATGTGTTTTAAAACATCACTTTTTAAAAATCAGCAATCATATATTAATAAAGATTAGAAAAGACCAAAAGAAACTAAAGCAGTTGGATTTTTATTTTGAGAAATGTTTAAATATTTTTTTATTCTCATTTAAAGTTGAACAGTCCAACTTTAACAGTAAGAGAATTATTAGATCCTTACAGCAATAAAAGCAGTAGCAATTTTTCCAAAGAGACATATAGATTTAAGGTAGTAATTTTACGGTGGGGTCAGAAAGTCTCACCTGTCCGTCAATAAACTCAATATATCACATGTACAAGCACTGACCATGCTCCATTCCATTTACGTTACATCAGCTATGCCTGTTGCTATTAAACATCCAAGTGATTATCCTCAAATGACCAAAAGGAAAAAAATATCAAATTTTCAACTATACACACGTTTAAAACATTAAAAATAAAAATTACCTTTCTTCTTTGTCCAATGTTTTCTTCTCTGCTGCAGTGACTTTTTTAGGTGGTACAGGAGGGGTCACTTTTCTACATATCTCTTCAATGATGCGTTTGTTCATTCTACTTTGCGACGCAGCTTTTAGTAAAATTCTTTCCACTGCAGTTATACCATCTCCATGACTGTATTTAGGAATTTCTGGTTGGATTAAAATTTCTATGTCATCAAGCCAAGGAGGATAGTAGGAGTTTTGTTTTCCTGAGAGTTTGTGGTGAAGTTTAATTAGCAAAGACAATATGCTTTCTTTAATTTCCAAAATGGCTGTAGTTAACTGTGGAGCTGAGCCAGGAGCAGACCATTTACTTGAAGTTTTGGGACGAACCACCTGATTTGCTTCACTGCTACTGCGATTGATGATTTCCTGAAATTTCTTTCTACGTTCTGCTACTAAACTGAAAACTTGAGCTGTACCAGAATTCTACCATTAAAAAAGAGAAACAAAGAAAAATCAAGAGAAGTTATTTAGCATCATTTTAAAAACATACTAGTACTACATTTTCCAAAGGGAATGCTCAGTTTCATAAAAAGATTTATTCAACAGATTTGCTCTTTAAATAATTCTGTCCCTTGACCTATCTCTCTCAAATATATTTAATCCCACTCAATCTGGAAAGAGTTATAAGGAGATCATCAGCAGTAACACCTCCTTTTCAACCTCCGGAAAACAGACAAAACTTAAGTAGTATCTACAGCCATATTAAAGAGAATCATAAACTAAATTATTCATTAGTTTAAAGGAGGAAAGGCTGTTCTGGTCAGCATTCATGAAGAATAGGGTACTCTTTAGTAACTTCTGGAAGACTGCTACAGTTTCCAGTTAAGAAAATTATAAATTCGTTTTTTAAAAAATTTTCTAAGCTAACAAACATGAACTAGTAATTAATTTCACTTTTAAGGAACTTTAAAGTTTGAAAATTCTAACATAAATGCTTAAAGTTACTAAACTGAAATATAAGAATGAAAAAATCAAACTGATGTTTCATATTTTAATATGAAATTTAATTTGTTTTATTAAATTTTAATATGAAATTAAAACTGTGATTTGTGATTTGTTTTTTATTTGTTTTTGGTTTGTCGGTCAAGGACTATGATTTGTTTTCTGAACAGTTTTTTTTTTTAACTAAGTATTTTCCTCATTAATTTAAATTCTAAAAAGCTTTTTTGCTAAAGCAATCAAACTGCACCAGGGCTCTTAGAAAACATCTTTTAATTAAGATATGAATCAGTTTAATGAATTTATTTTTTAAAAGCAAGCATAGAAAGGATGCTCTAATATCAGATGAGCTTTTGTGAGTCAAATGACAGTATACACTATTTTTTAACATCGAAGCTGTTTTTTAAAGTACTCTCTACCAGCATTAGAGGCAAAAGCCTCTTTAGAGTTTCCAGTTTTTGCTTACAGCGAAAATACGTTGTCAAAGACCAAGAAAGCTCCTACAAATAGACTCTACTATAAGAAATGTCTGATTCAATGTTCTCTACTGACAAAAATCTAGGCTGGGAAGACTAAAACTGCTTAAGTTTAGTTACTTAAAATGTCATTTCAAGATTTTTCATTACTGCTTTTTAAAAATTAACTTACATGCAATGAGAGCACTGATTTTCAAAATGAGTTCAAAGCCAGAACATACAGAATTTAAGACTTCATAGGCTTAGTTTATCAAAGTTAATTAATTGCCATAGAAGCAAAAAAAAGTTATTTGCAAATGAGCATGCTGCTAGCAATTAAATTTATTTTAATTTAGAAAATATCCAAGTCATTTTTAAGAAGTTAGTAGTATAGTGGCAATGCTAAATGTAAAGAGACTCAAATATGCTACCTATAATTGGTCCAAAATACTTCGAACACTAATAAGAAAATACCCAGTGTTATTTTTAAGCTCAATATAAATTTTCTTTAATATTAAGCTTAAATCACTTTGTCAAAAAAAAAAAACCACACACAAATCCAAGAAACTTTCTTTTAAATTTAACCATATTAATTAAACACCCATACACACACAAATACTTCAAAGCAGTTTTTCCCCATTTCCAGTTAAAGCCATGTTGCTAGTTAATGCAAATATCATACACATCTACCTCTCTTTGAAGAACTTTAGGCCGTCGTGAACTCTGGCAGATTAAGGGAAAAAGACTGATAAGGTAGAAGTTGCATAGATATATCAGAGGAAATAAAAAACAATTTAAAGTTATCTGCAACCACTTTTTTTTTCTTTTGGATATCATAGGAACAGTATATCCCAACATAACATACATAACATAAAGCTTTTCCCTATTTTCTTTCTTACGTTTACACTTACTTGAAAGGAACCCAAGTTATCAGAGCTAGTACTTGCAGGTGAGTCTCTCTTCACTTCAGGCGCAGTCTCTGGAACTCTTACTCTAACATAGTTTATAAAGTGTCGCATGTTTGACACTAAGTTACTGCCAGGAAACCAACTGTCATGACAACGTTCTGGTCCACCCACGGATGCCTAAAAAAAAAAAAAAAAAAAAAGAATATCAAATCTTGCCACGTCAGGTCCAAGGTACAATGGAGATGTAACAAGCCCCCAAAAATCATCCATTGCCTATCATAATCCTGGATCCTTTACTGTCTCAACCACAAATTATAGAGTGAATAAATTTGAATAAAACCAAATTCAAACAAAAAATGTAGTAATAAATTACTCAATACCAATATGGGTAAGTCCGATGGAATCAGCTAAACATCTGACTTAAAATACATTTTTAAATACATTTTTCAATCTAGAATACTGAACATTACAGAATATTCATCCTCACCCATTAGTAATACAAATAATGCTAATTTGGACTAATTTGGAGGAAACTGAAAAATCAACCAAAGGTATGACCTAATCATAGAGGAATCTTTATAACCTTTTAACATCTATGAAAGAACATATGTTGATTCAACTTGGACTACAAAGAACTACAAAGTGGTTTCTTGAACTTGTTTTTTGCAATTATTATGTTGTGTTACATTTTGTCATTTAGGAGGGAAGAGATGAGGAGAATCTTACACATTAGTGAAACTAATTTGTAGTAACAATTGCTTTTATGGACACAATACTTCTAAAGTCCTGAAACAAATTAACAACTTTTACTCTTTAAACATTCTCCCATATAACAATATTCATGCCATTACCTTAAAACCTTTACAGAAAGAATTTGCTACTCAAAAATAATCCCTAATCAAATTATTAGAATTTTTGGAGCTAAGCCCTAACTTCAGTTTTACTGATTATTTATTGATTACTGGTAATTTTTTGCCAATAATCAATATTCTTAGCATAACACCAAAAATGCATTAAACACTTTTATTAATTTTTGTGATAGGAATTATAAATTTCAAATTCAGTAATTCCATAATAGAATTTAATGCATCAATTAAGGCCCTAAAAAACTGTACGTATTTGAAGATCCCAAAGGGCCTTTTCCAGTAGTTCTTTAAAAGATCTTATGAGTCTGATGAAAACATAAATATACCTCAAGATGAATCCATAAATACATTTTACTAAGGCATGTCATAACTAGCAAAAGTATAACATGTCTGGTTTGGCAACAATTGGTTGGAGCCAGATAGGGACTGCCTATCTAAAAATTTTAAATTACAAAAAACTACTTACCTCTTCATCTGATTCTTCTTCAGCAGAATTTTCGAGTCCTAATTCAATCAGATACAAAACCATGCAGAGTACATGTTCTGACAGATTTTGATGATCCATCAAAATCTTTAAAAAGGGAAGAAAATGCCTCATAATTACTTTTTTCCACAAAATGTATTTCATTTAGAGATCCAAAAATATTTTACTGTTATAGACGAAAAGTACTTTAAGTAATATCTAGAAATACCAGTTCACAAATTTTCTAAAGGTTATGTCAGAGAGTCCACTAAAATAAATTCATATGAATATAAGTATTTAATAAAATAAATTAATAAGAATATTTTTATATCCTAATTTGCTGACACTCTTCTCTTGATGACAAGGCCATCAGATAAATAAGTTTACTAAATAGGATAATTCAAGCAAATGTGTTTAGCACAGCACCTGGCATATAACTGGAAGCACAATAAATGTTTATGGTGCATTAATGTTCTTAAAAACATGTCTCTGAAATTAAAGTTCTGAGCCTCTGAGTATTTTGAGTAGCTATATTCATATGTATGTCAGTGTGTGATTCACATGTAGGAGAAAGGTAGAAGGAATTCAAGCGGTTAGTAAAGAGGCTTCTCTGAAGAAAATTTGATAAATCTGACCTATGGATTACTCAATGCAAACCTTATGCATCTTACACAGGGTTTCTGGGCTACCTACATCAATCACTCATTCACTATAATATAACAGACCACTAACCAGAAGATATCTAAAATACTACAAGTAACAAAATGGCCTGGTAGCTATCATCTTGTCCTCATTATAAAAGTCATCTGGCCAAATGATGGAAAGGACAAAAGGAAGAAATTCTGTAGGGAATGGCAGTTTTAATTGTGGGCAAGATAGCAGAGAGCAAAAAAGAGGACAGGATAAGCTGAGCCTCCCAGAAGCTGCCCAAATGGCTGAGGCGACTTGGAAAGGAGGTCTTAATCGCTTAAGACCTAATCTACTACAACTAAAGAATAGAGACTTTCAAGTCACTGACTCTTCTCATGTTTTTCTGACTATTCAGAGGGCTTCTCTGTTCATCTGTTGTGTGGCACAGTGAAGAGCACAGGCATTCAAAACCTTTTAAAAACCAGATTTTTAAACAAATTTCTCTCTATTCCTAGTTGACCTTCAGCAACAGACTCTGGTCTTAGTTTTCTTATCTCTAAAGTTGAAATTATAGAGCCCCTCCGAGCACTTTCACTTGTCCCATCCCCATCCAAAAAAAAAACCAAAAATAAGAAAGAAAAATAAAAATGGAATTAAAGCCCAGAATTGTTGTAAGGATTGCATGGGTTAATATCTGTCATTTGCTTTGTGTAGTGTCTAGCAATGTGTGTTCAACAAATAGTGAGTGAGTGGTGCCAACGATGTGAGGAGCAGAAGCAGCAGCAGGAGGAGACTGAAGGCTGGGAGACCACAGAAGTCATCCTTTCTGATCCACTATGTTATAGAGAGAAAACAAAGGCCCAGCCACACAACCAGTTAGCTAGTGTAAGCAACACTAGAACGCAGACCTCAGACTCCCAGGCCACTGACTATCATTACTATACTATCTCCTCCTGATAAATAAAACATTACCAGCTAAATTCAATTAAATTTTGACTTCAAAGCTTGTGGCATTACAGCTTTAACTGAATAACTTAAGAGCTAAGGAGGAAAAAAATCCCTCTATTAGGTACTTCCAAAAAAAAAAAAAAAAGAAAGAAAAATGATGTTTCCAGGCAGTTTTATTTTGACACTAAACACGTCAGAGGATAAAGGTGGTTTACTAAAATTGATTTTTAGAAAGTTGATTTGCCAACGTAATGTCAACGGAGAATTTTATTATTATTATTAGTAAAATCAAGAAAGCTATTTTAAAGTTGAGATTTCAAGAGTTCATTTATGATAGTCTTGTAACAACTAAAACATTGTCTTTTTATTTTTCATAAAATACTATTTGTACATTTAGCATACGAAAACATTGAAACATATAACTTGAAAGAGCATAATAATTTGCCATAAGGCTTCCTTAAATTTTCATGAATTATTTGTCACTTATTAATTACTTATAACAGTACTTAGCTTCCCCATCTGAACTAGTTATTTAACCTCTAAAACTCAATTTCATATCTGAAAAAGGAGAAAAACAACAGAACTTTCACTCATAAGGATTTTTGCTAGCTTAAGCAAAATAACGTCTACAAGTATATATAAAGCATTTCAAACAAAATCTGGCACTAAGTAAACATTCGAAGACTCTCCATTATTTGTAAAACAAATACAAATATCTTTTCAGTACAAAAAGATATTCTACATTTTTTAATAAAGAAAAAGAACATTTTAAATCAATTACTGAATAACCCTCTTGGAAGTTAATGAAAATAAACCACCCAAGGTGTTTTTTGAGGCACCTGTCCAAAATCATAACAGGAAAACTTTAGAAACAAGTACAATGAAAAATTGGTCATGGGTGGAGTTAAAAGAAAAGTATAGAAATTTAAAAGTATTATTTCATTATAAGATTAAGAAAAAAACTAAAATTCCTACCTAACTAAATATATACTTTCTTAAACAATGTGTTAAATGATTGTACATAGTAATTGGAAATTTGTATAACAAATATTCTTATTTTTCTTTGAATTTTTCTTAACTTTTAATTTTTCAAATTATAACTAGGAAGAGGAACAAGAGGTTTTCTTTGTATCTACCTGCATAACATTTATCATGTCTATATAGTTATTTTCTTTTTTCTTTCATCTTTCTTTCCTCCACCCCCGAGATGGAGTCCTGCTATGTCACCCAGGCTGGAGTGCAGTGGCACGATCTGGGGTCACTGCAACCTGCACCTCCCAGGTTCAAGCAATTCTCCTGCCTCGGCCTCCCGAGAAGTTGGGATTAAAGGCGCCCACCACCATACCCATCTAATTTTTGTAGTTTTAGTAGAGACGCGGTTTCACCATGTTGGCCAGGCTGGTCTCGAACTCCTGACCTCGAGATCTGCCCACCTTAGCCTCCCAAAGTGCCGGGATTACAGGCATAAGCCACTGCACCCAGACTTTTTTCATCTTTCATGCAGATGAGATTATAAAAATCCCTATTATATACACACATACATACTACACAATATTATGTTTCATACAAGTTTTTGAGTACACAATTAATGTTAGTCAAATAAATCTGTTTTACGTGAGAAGATCCCAAAATAAAACAAATTTTAGATAACAAGAAAGTAAATGCATCATCTTGTGAGTTCCTAAGATGTTTATCAAAAACAATTTTTGATCTTGCCACATAGAAACCACACTCAAAACCTTCCACGTCACTTTCCTGATTAGAGGAAAAAAGCAAAAAGAACCACCCCAACCTAAGATTCACTGGCTCACATAACTGCCATTCTAGTTTTGTCATTTTAGTGGGTTCTGATGGTTGTTTGGTCCCTGTAGCTCATTCCACACCTCTTGTAGTTCCATGGTATTTCACTTATTGTTCTGCAGAAGCCATAAATACATATTTTTATCTGTAGCTAGATAAGATAAATAGTTTCTCACAAAGAATGCTGTAGCTATTCTGTTATATTCAACTTGGATTTCAAATATATGTGATTATAACATATCTTCATACATCTTAAATGTATAAACACACTTTGCTTTATAAGTGGTACTTTTATGTAAATATTATCCTAAAGGATTATTATTTGAAAATAAATTCTAAACTTAGTCTTTCTATTCAAATTACTACTGTACCTTGTAAAGCAGAGTGAATAGCACAATGTGTAAAGTTTTACAGTGCAAAAGTCTCATGAGACCTTTATAGCTAGGATGGAGTGATGTCCTTTTCTTATAGGGAGGCCAGGGATTTCCAGGAAATTTTCCGCTCTGTTTTAAACTGTAAAAAAAAAACAAAACTAGAATTAGATGATAGCCTCAAAATCAAACTGTGGTTTAAATGTAATTTATAGACACCAATTTCTGCCACAATGTTTTATGCAGTGCTATTTTTAATCAAATTGCTTAAAATGCCAAAGAGGTTTCTATTCTATATACAATGAACATTACTATTTCTTTTCCTAATGGCTAAAAATGAGTAAAGAGAGCTAAGCTGAATATTAAAAAATATATAAACTTTAAAGTGCTAACAAAGAGAAACGAACAGAAAGAATACAGATGAAGTACTCAGCAAAGAAATTTCCAGCTGTAACAATTAAGCAAAATAGATGACCTGAAAATTCTCCCACTACCAATAGTTGGAAAAGCTGGATAAAATATAAATATAATCTTTTGAATGCATATTTGAGCTCACACAAAAAAAGTGGAATTCTCCAGTTACCACAAAAAAGAAGGAATTAGTGACAAGCACTAACACTGTGCCAGTTGTTATAAAGTCCTTGAGCAAACAGATCACAAGGTGTGTTGGGCTCACACAAGACTCAGAGACAGAACTGAGATCCCACCTAAAGCTAAGACCCTTGAAAGGCTTTACCCTCACTGAAAGAATAACTCACAAGGAGAATGAATTAGCTTGTCTGTCTCTTCTGGGATGTAAGAACAACAAGTTCCCCAAGAAGATAATTATGAACTTGTATGCAAATACAGTAGGCCCCTCTTATCTTCAGGGAACATGTTCCAAAGCCCCCAGTAGATGCCTGAAAATAAGGATAGTACCAAACTCTCTATATACTATGTTTTCCTACACATACATACCTATGATAAAGGTTAATTTATAAATTAGACACAATAAGAGACTAACAACAGTAAGTGATAACAGAATAATTACAACATTATACTGTAATAAAAGTTAGGTGAATGTGTACATGCTTTCTCTCTCAAAATACCTTATGTATAGTAGTCCCTCTTATACCTAGTTTCACTTTCCACAGTTTCAGTTACCCATGGTCAACCACGGTCAGAAAATATTAAATGAAAATCTCCAGAAATAATTCATACGTTTCAGTTGTATGCCATTCAGATTATTGTTACAATTCTTCTATTTTACCTTTAGTTATTACTGTTTATCTTATCATAGGTATGTATTGTAGGAGAAAAACATAGTAGATATAGGGTTGGATACCATTCCTCATTTCAAGCATCTACTGTGGGTCTTGGAACATGTCCCAAGGATAAGAGGGGGACCACTGTACTATACTCACTCTTGTTCTTCTTGTGATGATGTGAGATGATAAAATGCCTACGTGATGAGATGAAGTGAAGTGAATGATGGTAAGCACTGTGACATGGCATCAGGCTACTAATGACCTTCTGACAATATGTCATCAGAAGGAGGAACATCTGCTTCAGGTGATCTTGAATCATCAGGCCATGACAATGTGATGGCTGGATGTCAGGAGCAGACAATGTCAATAACTAACAAGCAAGTAGTATATACAGCATCGTACACTGGACTAAGGAACAATTCATATTCCAGGTGGGACAGAGCAAGATGGCACAAGAATTCATCACCCTGCTTACAATGGCATATAATTTAAAATTTGTAAGTTATTTATTTCTGGAATTTTCCATTTAATATTTTTGGACAGCCATTGGCTATAGGTAACTATGCTCTTAGAAATTCAGAAGCCATTAAAAATCATAACAGAAAAATTTAAAGCCTAAACTATATAGAAAAAGTTGTGGGCCACAACCAAAGTAGTGCTTAGAAGGAAATACATAGCCTTAAAATCCATATGTTTGTGAAAAAATCAACAACTAAGCATCCAAATTATAGTTAATAATAATGTATATTTCAAAATAGCTAGAAGAACTGTAATGTTCCCAACATAAAAAAAAGATAAATGTTTGAGATGATGAATATCCCAATTTCCCTGATTTGATCATTACACACTGTACACATGTATGAAACTATCAGAGAAGTATCTTCAAATACTGTGTAAAAGGTAATATTAAGGCTAAGATATATCAATTAAAAATATTTTTTAAATACATAACAATAAAAATTAAATAGGAGTAATTAAAAATGAAAACCAAATGCACTAAAACAACAACAACAACAACAACTGAGTATCCAAGAAAAGGAACAAAGACAATCCACACTAAATTGCAAGAAGACAATAATGGCCTGGCATAGTGGCTCACATCTGTAATCCCAGCACTCTGGAAGGCCAAGGCAAGCAGATCGCTTTGAGCTCAGTAGTTCAAGACCAGCCTGGGCAGCATGGTGAAACTCTGTCTCTACAAAAAATACAAAAATTAGCCAAGCATGGTGATGCACCCCTGTAATCCCAGCTACTCAGGAAGTTGAGGTGGGAGGATCGCTTGAGCCCAGCAGTTAAAGGCTACAGTGAGCCAAGATAGAACCACTACACATCAGTTTGGAAGACAGAGTGAGACTGTCTCAAAAAAGGGGGAAAAAAAAGGCCTGGCATGAGGGCTCACACCTGTAATCCCAGTACTCTGGGAGACTGAGGAGGGCGGATCACGAGGTCAGGAGATCGAGGCCATCCTGGCTAACACGGTGAAGCCCCGTCTCTCCTAAAAAAAAAAATACAAAAAATTAGCTGGGCGTCCTGGCAGGTGCCTGTAGTCCCAGCTATTCAGGAGGCTGAGGCAGGAGAATGGTGTAAACCTGGGAGGCGGAGATTGCAGTGAGCAGAGATCGCACCACTGTACTCCAGCCTGGGCGACAGGGTGAGACTCCAACTCAAAAAAAAAAAAAAGAAAGATAATAAGTAATACAGAAAAAAAAGAATGAAATAGAAAATGAGGGTGGGAGGAGAGAGACAATCAAAAGTTGGTTCTTAGAAAGCATAATAAAACTGATCATCATCTGCTATGACACCTAATTCAAAATAAGAAATAGCAAACACACATAAATAACAGGAATAAAAACACAGGGAAGTTTTTTTAATCATTAAGTATAAACTTAAAGATTTCTTAGAAAAATATAACTTAGCAATTTTTTTTCAAGAAATAACCTAAGCAAGCCTATAACCTTTAAAGAAAGTGAATGTGTAGTTTTAAGTTATCCACAAAAAAAGAAAAGATTGTATGAGGCCCAAGTTGTTGAACAGGCAAGGTCCATTAAAACTTAAAGAAACACCACATGAATAAGAATGAAGTTGGACCACTACCTCACAGCATACATAAACACTAACTCAAAATCGATCAGAGAATTTGATGGAAAAGCTTCAGCTGTAGTTTTATATTTTTAAGCATAAAACTCCTTGAGAAAAACATAGGTTTAGCTATTTGTGACCTTGATTTAGGCAACAGACAGGAAAATTAAATTAATTTAGGCGATAAACAGAAAAATTAAAGAAAAAAACTGGAATTCATCAAAATTTAAAACATTTGTGACTCAAAGGACACTTTCAAATAAGTGAAAAAGACAATCCACAGAACGGCGGAAAACATGCACAGACGGGGCGCCATAGCTCATGCCTGTAATCCCAACACTTTGGGAGGCTGAGCAGGCAGATCACTTAAGCCGCAGAGATCAAACCAGCCTGGGCAACACATGTAGAGACCCCATCTCTACAAAAAATTCAAAAATTAGTCATGAGTGGTGGCACATGCCTGTAGTCCCAGCTACTCGGGAGGCCACTCAGGATCACCTGAGCCTGGAGAGGCTCAAAGCTGCAGAGAATTGTGATCATGCCACCAGTCTGAGCAACAGAGTGACATTGTCTTAAAAAAAAAAAAAAAAAAAGGAGAAAGAAATGAAAACATTTGCAAATCATATACCTGATAAGTCTAGTATTCAGAAAATATAAAGAGGTCTTAAAACTCAATAATAAAAAGTGCAATTAAAAAATAAACAACAAAATTGGCAGCACCTGGTACCTTTACAACTGGAGGTGGGAAGGCAGGGGGTTAAAATAAGGAGGATTGGATGAAAACTGCCTTTCCACCACTGAAACAGAATTTTGGCTACAGAACTCATCTCCGGGGAGGATAAAATAGCAAGTACAACTGAGGGTATAAGGAGGAAAGATTAAAGTCGTCATGTGCATATTTGACCCAGAGTCCCTAGGCCTTGTCTCCCAGTCGGTTCATGGAATAATAGCAGCCATACCATTACCTCTGGGCAGTATCTCAGGATACTTCCCTGAGGAATCTGACCAGGCCAAAAAGAAAGATCTAACACAAGTGTTTCTCAACAAACCTGCCTACCCAAATCACCCTATATTAAAATTCAGAATCTACAAGTTCCGACAATGCACTCAAGAGCTCTTAATCACAAGCAGTCAACATTGTCAGACATCTGGGGAATGCCTCTAACTCGAAAGCTAGAGACTGAACAATAGAAAATGCACCTTAGAGGAAACAAATACTATACAGAATGAAGAAAAAAAAATCTTAAAAATAAGAAAACTATCATTAATATATCAGAGAAATAAGCTGTACCTATGATTATGAAGATGCTATAAAATTAACTTTGCAATTAAAAAAACTGGTTTCTGGGCCAGGCGCGGTGGCTGCTGCCTGCAATCCCAGCACTTTGGGAGGCCGAGGCAGGCGGATCACCTGAGGTCAGGAGTTCGAGACCAGCCTGACCAACATGGAGAAACTCTGTCTCTACTAAAAATACAAAATTAGCCGGGCATGGTAGACACATGCCTGTAAATCCCAGCTACTTGGGAGGCTGAGGTGGAAGAATTGCTTGAATCCGGGAGGCAGAGGTTCCAGTGAGCCGAGATCGCGCCATTGCACTCCAACCTGGGCAACAAAAGTGAAACTCTCTCAAAAAAATAAAAATAAATTAAAAATAAATTTAAAAATTAGTTTGTATATAATACTACAGTGACAACATATAAATGTAATTTTCAAAATGATCGCAATAGCCATGATGAAATACTTCAACTATTCTATTTCATTTAGCATTAAAAAAGCAATTTTTAATTTTACTTTGTCTCTGTTTGCTTTAAGCAGTAACCACTAAATATGTGGCACCTAGATTAATAAATTGTTGCAAAATAAAGGTTATACATTTGTTGAAGGCCTGAGTAATACATCATTTTGACTGCTCTTTTCAAAAGCATTAATAGAATAATGCAAAGGAAATGCTACATGACAGAAAAAAATTACTTAAGTGACTCACACCAACACGTAATTATTGACTAGTTTGAGACAAAAATGACATACATAAAACTCATACATCATACTTTCAAACATGGGGCAGCAGTCATTAACCTTCAAAATGGGAGACAAGAGGCAACAGAAATACAAGAAATTACATATTTTTAAAAATGTACTTTTCAGTTGAATTTAAAACAGATGCTTTATGAAATCATTTCTATCTTTGGAAATGGCCTAGCTCATAGTTCTAACAACACTGCCACTGTCAGACATATTTCACCAGGAACAGTGGTTCACATCTATAATCCTAGCACTATGGGAAGCTGAGACAGGAAGATCACTTGAGACTAAGAGTTCAAGACTAGCCTGGGCAATATAGCAAGAACCCACCTCTACAAAAAACTTTTAAACAATCTAGCCAGGCATGGTGGTGCACCTGTAGTCCTAGCTACTCAGGAGGGTAAGATGGGAAGATCACTTGAGTCCAGAAGTTGGAAGCTGCAGTGGGCTATGATCACGCCACTGCACTCCAGCCTGGGTGACAAAGTGAGACCCTGTCTCAAAAACAAACAAAAAAAAAACAGACATATTTTCACTGACCTTCTCTGAGCCACAATGTCTTCATATATAAAATATAACACTGAAATGATGGTTTTCCAACTGTTGGTTTGCTTTGTTGTTGTTATCTCGTTTTTGTTTTCTTTTTAAGAGCTGAATGCCCACTCGGGGATATTTGGAAGGGAGAAAGGGAAGCAGGATGAGCCACTTCCACTCTCTTAAGCCTCTTCTTGTTGTTGCCCAACCCTGTCTTCCAGTGAAGGCCCACAAGACACTTTCATAGAACCTGGACTAGATTTTAAAGGCCTTTTCCTGCAATAAGAGCCTAAATTTCTAAGCATCTAAGCATCACATAGAGCAAATGGCTTACTTTCACTTAAACTCTCAGCACAAAAACTGAAAGAAATCTACTTTTCATTCATTTAATAAATATTTACTGGTTGCCTTTAAAGTGCCTGGCACAGAGCTAAATTGTGAGAACACAAAAGTTTAAATTTATCTGACCATTTTTCATTTTAATTTGCAAGATGACCTCCAAAAGGTCATCTTGCAAATAAAAAAAGATCCCTCCCAGTATAATCAGTTAAGCCACTTTTTGTCCCTTAAAACTAAAAAGCAGATGAAAATAATCAATAGCAAACGAATCGGCCAGGCATGGTGGTTCATGCCTGTAATCCCAACACTTTGGGAGGCCGAGGTCAGCGGATTATCTGAGGTCAGGAGTTCAAGACCAGCCTGGAAAACATGGTGAAACCCCATCTCTATTAAAAATACAAAAGTTAGCTAGGCATGGTGGTGGGTGCCTGTAATCCCAGCTACTCAGGAGGCTGAAGCAGAAGAATCAGTTGAGCTCAGGAGGCGGAGGTTGCAGTGAGCCGGGATCGTGCCACTGCACTCCAGCCTGGGTGACAGATTGAGACTCTGTCTCTATAAAATGAAATAAATTAAAATAAAATAAGATAAAATAAATAAAATAGCAAACAAATCCTAGAGTTTAGGGTTATCTTCCCACTTGTGCTGAAACAATAACTGAAACAGTCAACTGTACAGTCAAATATACAACAAATAAAAGACACTGCATAAAGGAAGCAGGTATTATTGTTTCACATACAAAATAAATCACAAAAATTTTAAGTTTTACATAATTATGTAACCAATGCATTTCTTTTGTTTGTTTGTTTGTTTGTTTTTTTGAGGTAGAGTCTCACTCTGTCTCCCAGGCTGGAGAGTGGCATGATCTCAGCTCACTGCAAGCTCCACCTCCCGCGTTCACGCCATTCTCCCGCCTCAGCCTCCTGAGTAGCTGGGACTACAGGTGCCCACCACCACGCCCGGCTAATTTTGTTTTTGTATTTTTAGTAGAGACGGGGTTTCACCGTGTTAGCCAGGATGGTCTCAATCTCCTGACATAGCGATCTGCCCACCTGACCTCCCAAAATGCTGGGATTACAGGTGTGAGCTACCGCGCCCAGCAGTAACCAATGCATTTCTGCAAGGATATGGTATTTATTTTACATATACAAAAGTTATCACACAAATAGGTTGCACATAAAATTTCAAAGAGTATTTTAAAAGATAATGGTTAAAAGGTTTTAGTCTAAAGCTAAAAAGTTTGTAATCTGCTATTACTGCTTTGAGTACATTATTTCTTTTAAAACATAGATTTTCAAACTGCTAAGAAACATCACAGTGGTTCAAAAATGTTTCTGTTTTGTTTTACTGTGAAACAGGGGTCTCATTCTGTTTCCAGGCTAGAATCCACTGGCATGATCACAGCTTACTGCAGCCTTGACCTCCCAGGCTCAAGCAATTCTCCTGCCTCAGCCTCCCGAGTAGCTGGGACTACAGGCATGCACCACCAGGCCCAGCTAATTTTTGTATCTTTTGAAAAGATGGGGTTTCACCATGTTCCCCAGGCTGGTCTTGAACGCCTAGGCTCAAGTGATCCACCTGCCTTGGCCTTCTAAAAACTGCTAGGATTACAGATGTGAGTCACTGCACCCAGCCTGTTCAGAAATATTTCTAAGAAGCTATAAAGAAATTGTACAAGAACTCAAAAGCCAAACAGAGGAAACAAGAGAATGAGGGAAAGTAGAGAACAAAATAAGAAAGTGAAAAAACTGATAAAAACAGCTTTGGGAATATGGTTTTATCTGACTATGTGAAATAGTTATAAATCAAAATATGATATAGATCTAAACGATATAAAACAGATCCCAAAACACAGGATACTTGGAAACAGAAAAGGTATACCTATGTATCAATATGGGTCTAAACCAGGTTTCTCAACCTAGGCACTAACGACATTAAGGGAATTCTTGGTACAGGTGGTAGAACTGGCCTTTACTAGATGTCAGTGGCAACCCTACTAGTCTTCAGACAACGCCAAATATCATCCCTACTTAAGAACCACTGTTCTAAATGAAAGAAATAAACTGCTCAGAGCTAAAAGTTTGCTAAGTGAAAAATCAATTATATTTTCCTTACAGAGTACCTGGCATATAACAAGCATTCAATAAATGTGTACTGTTAAATAAAATTTCCCCTTTAAAACTGATTGCATTATTTAATGATTCCTTCAAAGCTTTGAAAGTTTCAGCCCAATCTCAGTCCAAATTTCTAGTAACTACAAAGTAAAAGAGAATAAAATTTACTTAATTCTTATACATTCAAAACAACTAACCGTCACCACTACCCTGAAAAAAAGGCAGAGCCATTTAAGACCGGTGTTTATGAAGTCTCAGTTAGGTTTTCCATGCAAATACTTCTTCCCAATTTTCTTCATTTTTCAATTTTTCAACAGGAATTACTCAAATTTATTTATTCAACAAATATATTATGAATACCTACTAAGTGCCAGCATTGAGATAAGTATTAAAGATGTAGAAGAGATACAGAGATAAAAATATCTTCCCTCGAGGAGCTAAGAGTTTAGTAAGACTACAAGCAAATTTTTACAAAACTACATGAAAAGCAGAAAAAGAGGGAGTTAAGAAACCAGAGAAAGAAAACCTCAGTCTAATTTCTCCAAGGGTTTAGAGAAAGGGAGAGAGAGATGCTGATGGCTGAACTGGGTTGTTGTCGTCGTCGTTGATTCAAAGATTGTTTTGGTTTTGTTTGGGGGGAGGAAGCAAATTAAAATTCCACATTAAAAACTTTCTTCAGATATTTGTCTGTGATAGATATTTCTATTACTGCAAAGTCTTGGCAAAAGAGAAGTTTCACTTTGATAGTTATCTGGGTAAGTTTTAATACTTTCTCAAAATCAAGGACATTTGCATCATTTAAACTTGTTTTTTAAATGTTTAGCTGTAGGAAAGCACAAGTAAAAGATGACATCCTGTGATATTCAGCAATATAATATTAACTATTAAGGTTTTAAAAGAAGTGGAAATAATACATTTACAACAGTCTACAATTTACAATAACATACAAAATTGAATTCTGCATTTAAAAGATATCTTTCAAAATGTTTGTCTTCTGCAGTCATCAATACTGTAAACTATTTTGTTAAATATTTACAAGTAAAATTCATTTTGCTTTGGCTATTTTCCCAGTTGTCACGAACACAGAAATATGTTCACTTATTACAGACACCCATTACCAACTCTGATGTCAGAGAATTCTATTCTCTTAACTTGTGCCTCCTCTACTGGTTCAAAAGTAGAACACCACAAAACCAAGCCTTTAATTCCACTGATGAAACAGCAACTAAGTAAGTTTCTGTTTTTTAAATTTAGTGATCATGTTCTAAATCTATCACATTAACATCAAATTTTGGATAAAGATCTTAACATAAATCTCTGACAGATTATTATTTAAACCTTAAATTATTATTTGCATCTCTAAAGAATGGACGTATACTTTAATGAGAGCATATCATATCTGTGTTATAATTGAAATTTTTCCATATAAATATAAAATACTCTGTTATGATGCTAATCAATTTGATGAACTTACAATGCAGTATATCTGTCCATTGCAGACTGCACATCTCTACGGTAAACTGTTCGAAGAATGACCATGACGGGGTCAAACTCTTGATCCCAGACTTCAGCTATTATTCAAAAGAAAGTAGAAACATTGACTTCTCAGAAATAAAATCAATATTTATTGACTTCTTACATTTGTTAAGTATATTTTACATTTGAAAGACAGAACAATTCAATCTGATTATAGTATTTGCCTTAAGAAGCTTGATGCCATGATTACTTTTCTAAGTCAGAAATCACAATTTCATCATCAGGAATGTTCTCTTGAGTTCAGCAAGCACTAAAGAACAAAAGTTTTGTAATACAACAATGCCTCATCAGAAAAGTTTACTTCATTGTTGTTGTTGTTTTTTGCAGGGTGCCAATTAGAAAGAAACACAGCACGTTAAGACCTTTGAGTGTACTTAAAGGCAAGTAGGGTATGCCTCACACCTGCAGTCCCAACTACTTGGGAGGCTTAGGCAGGAGGCTCATCTGAACCCAGGAGTTGGAGGCCAGTCCAGGCAACAAAGCCAGACCTCACTTCCCTTCCAAAAAAAGTATTTAAAAAAAAAAAAAGTACTTAAAAGTAAAAGCATGAAAACTAGATTTAAAGATTAATGAGGCTGGACACGGTGCCTCATGCCTGTAATCCCAGCACTTTGGGAGTCTGAGGTGGGCAGATCACTTGAGGTCAGTAGTTTGAGACAAGCCTGGCCATCACGGTGAAACCCTGTCTCTACTAAAAATACAAAAATTAGCCAGGCGTGGTGGCACACACCTGTAATCCCAGCTACTTGGGTGGCTGAGGCAGGAGAAACACTTGAACCCAGGAG